GCGTCCCACCAAAATCGGCGCGAACGGGCTCGTGAGATCAGCCAGGGTGGCTCCCCCTTGGGGCTCCCAAATGATGCCCCTGGCAGCGTTTTGTGATCATGAGAGAGTGTGAGTGTGAGTGAATGTGACTGTGAGTGAGTCTGAGTGAGAGCGAGTCTCATCTTATCTTATCGAGTCCTATCTTATCTTACCTCTATTACCCTCTATCTTATCTTATCTTGAGATCTCTGATCTTGTCTTAGCTTATCTTATATCAACTCATCTTATCGCATCATATCTTGTCTTATCGTATTACTACATAGGCTGTCTTATCTTATGTATTATCCTACCTTGTCATATATCTTATCATACCTTATCATATATTGTGCTATCTTAACTTATCTTGTAGTATGTTATCTTGTCTTGTCTTATCTGGTGATTATTATTGGGAGGAGGGAGGCGGGAGGCGGGAGGAAGAAGGAGGAGGAGGAGTGGGAGGCGTCAGAGTAATAACAAGAACCCCGAGACTTCCTCACGAAAATGGTGAAAATGAGGCTGCGGCCTAGGCGCGGCGGGGGGGTCGTGCACCAGGGGTCCCAACAATAATTATTCTTTAGAAGTAATAATGTTCAACAACAACAACAACAGCAACAACAACAACAGCAACAACAACAATCAGTTTAATATGGTTCGCTTTTACTGGCACACGTGTCTTGCACCCAATATACCCCAACCCTCGAAACCCGCCCACTTCGTCTTCGATTGCACCCCCTTTCGGGGGGAATCTCTTCCTTGTCGGCCACTGGCCGACTGCGAAGAAATCTCGAGCGAGAGCGCCGTTCCTAAGTTCGGGGGCCTCTCTGGCCAGGGGCTCTCGAAATACCCATGGAGAAATATCGAACGGGAGCCCTTGTCGCCGTGTCTGGGCATCCACCAACTTGCCTGAAGTACGTGAAGGTCTCGAGCGAGAGCGCCGTTCCTGAGTTCGGGGGCCTTCTTGGCCAGGGGCCCTCGGAGTAAATCGTGAGGAAATATCGAGCAGGAACCCTTGTCGTCGTGGCTGGGCCTCCGCCAACCTAATTGAATTGCGAGGAAGTTTCGAGCGAGAGCGCCGTTCCCGAGTTCGGCGGCCTCTCTGGCCAGGGTCTCGGGGTAAATTGTAAGGAAGTATCGAGCGGGAGCCGCTGTTGTCGCAGCAGGGCCTCCAAGGGCCCACATTTACGCTCAAGCCAACGCTCGAGCGGGACCCTCGTTTTCAGAGAAAATGTAGCCGGCGTCGAGGCGGGAGTGCGCAAAACCGTTTCCGGAGATCAGCAATCATTATTGTACTGAAACGTGTATTCAACAGCAACAACAGCAGCAGCAACAACAGCAGCAGCAGCAGCAACAACAGCAACAACCACAACAACAACAACAACAACAACAACAACAACAACAACAACAACAACAACAACAACAGCAACAACAACAACAGCAACAATAAAATCAACAAGCACAACAACAACAACAGCAGCAATCAAGTTAAGGCTGTTCGCTCTTATCAGCTCGCGTGCCATTCAATACGTATATCCCAAACTATCGATATCAGCCCTGTTCGTCGTCGATCGCACCCCCTTAGGGGTAGCTTTCTCGTACCTGCACCGTGTATTTCGTGCAGCCCCTAAGGCAGAGGAAGAGAGGGCCGTTGGGGATGAGGGGGGAAGGAGGAGGCAGAGGAGCAGGATGTGGAGGTGGAGGAGGAGGAGGAGGAGGAGGAGGAGGAGGAGGAGGAGGAAGAGGAGAGGGAGGAGGACGAGGACGGGGAACGCAGAGGAGGCAGAGGAGAGGAAAAAGACGACGACGAACAGGACAGCCGTCGCACCTTTCGTCTTCATGTCCGCAGTAACCACAAGGACCTCATTTGGTAAATATTTTGGCTGTCGTGAGCTCCTGAGGGGCAGTCCTGGGGGTCACGAAGGGCACAAAATGCGGGACCACAGAAGGCAGCGACGCGACCGCTGAGGGTCGCACCAGGGCCACGAAGGGCAGCGAGGGGGCCACAGAGGGCGACAGCAGGGCCACGAAGGGCATGCATACAAGGCTACGGCGGGCGCGAGCGAGCGGGGGGCCACGACGGGCAGCAATGGGGCCACAAAGGGCGACAGCGGGGCCGCGACGGGCAGCAATGGATGCACGAAGAGCAGCGAGGGGGCTACGAAGGGCGACAACGAGGCCACGAAGGGCATGCATATGGGACCACGGCGGGCGCGTGCGAGCGGTGGTCGCGAAGACCATATAACGCGGAACCACAAAGGGCAGCGACGGGGCCACTGAGGGCAGCAACGGGTCCACGAAAGGCGCAAGCGAAGGCGGCCGGGGAACCACTACGGGCAGCGATGGGCATTAAGAGCGGGGGAAGGGCAGCAAGAGGCGACTGGAGTCCCTAACGGGCGGGAGCCGTTGTTGTTGTTGCTGTTGTACTTTGGGGGCCCGCCGCCCGCCTCGAGGAGCGGCATCTGAATAAATTGTTAGGAAGTCCCACGCGAAAGCGCGATTCCTCAGCAGATCGCCAAGAGGTCTCAAGCGAAAGCAAGATTTCGAAATGACTAGTGAGGAAGCATCAGGCGGGAGCCGTTGTTGTTGCAACTCGGGGGCCCGCCGCCTAGGTTGAGGTTCAAGAGTTTCCCTGATAAAAGAAAGACAACGTGCGAGCCCTGGGAGGGGTACTCCGATAGGAAAATACAATGATTACCAGAGAGGAAGGATCATCCATAATCAGTATTCAGAAATCAACGTTCAACAACAACAACAACAACAACAACAACAACAACAACAACAACAACAACAACAACAACCACAACAACAACAACAACAATCATTTTACCCGAACGCGTGGTGTTCTCCCCAGTGCCAGGGTTTTCATACGACACCAGGCAATACCCCCACTTCGTGGGGGGCATTACAAGCTCTACCAAATATCCAAACGACTCTTCGCGACCACCCAAACCCAGCTTCCCGCCCTATGACGTTGGGACACTTCACTTCGTGGCGTGCGGACGACCGTGGCTACTACACTGGCGTGGGGTACACACCCACAGAACCCAATGGTTTTTGGAGATTTCGGCGTGCGCGCGCGAAGAAAAAACGAATGTGTCCCGCATGGTATTATTTGACAGGGATGATGGCCCTGGCAGGTGCGCAACCGTTGTCGCAGAAGTTCGAAAAAGTTGCTCGCAAAAGCCCGTTTGACAGAAATGTTTAAAAAGTGTTGGGTTTCCTACGAATCCGCAAGAGCGCGCGGGATGAGATTTTGACATTTTTTTGTTGAAAAACCATTGGTTTTTTGATGTTTTTATGTTAAAATCGCTCCGAACACTAAGCTTTTGGAAGGATTTCGTCTTGCGCGCGCGAATGTCCACTTTACCTTATTTTTTGCAAGGGATTCTTGAAATTTGATTATATTAGAACAAGAAATGTCATTTTATAGTGTTTTTTGCAAGGGAAAGCGGATTACAACAAAACAACCGGATCTTGATCAACTCGAATTACCTGAGGCTTCCTCACGAAAATGATGAAAACGTGGCTGCGGCCTAGGCGCGGCGGGGGGGGCGCGCACCAGGGGGCCCAACAATAATTATTCTTTAGAATTAATAATGTTCAACAACCACAACCACAACCACAACCGCAACCACAACCACAACCACAACCACAACGTCAACCTTAACCTCAACCTCAACCTCAACCACAACCACAACCACAACAACAATAACAACAACAACAACAACAACAACAACAAGCAAAACCACAACCACAACCACAACCACAACCACAGCCGTCGTACATTTTGTCGCGACGCGAAATGGCCTGGGGAGGGAGGCGGAGCCTGGACAGCCTTCGGCTACGCGCAAGGGTGACGAACGAACGAACGAACGAAGTGCCATACGCCGGAGCGCGTGGGCAAAAGACAATGCCAGCCTGAACTCGCCGATTTGCGGTACAATGCACAGCGTGCGCGATTGGAGGAGGAAGAGCAGCAGCAGCAGCAGCAGGGGAGGGAGGAGGAGCGAGAAAGGAGGGACGGCATAGTATACATAAGCTCCTGGCTCGACGGTGCCAGATCGCACGGACTAGAAAGCCTGTTCTGGGTCCGGCCCAAAACTCTCAGTGAAACATCGTACAAAGACTTTCCATTTGGGGGGGTCCCGCACGTACTCCATGACGTGCTCGTCTGATGCGAACGCACCCGAAATGCAGTTGCGCAGGCACGATGCCCATGCATTCATCGGTCTACCCCGCTTCCGCTTGAGCGACGCTGTGGCCGAGCGGATCGAACCATCTTGACAAGTAAGCTGTCTCAGAAAATCTAGGTTAGAAGCTCTGCCAATTTTCCCGAACAATGTCAGCTGATGCCTCAATAACTGCGCTGTGTATGGCTGTTGCCCTGCACGTTGTAATACATCCTTGTTTGAAATGTGCGTAAGAAAGGCCGGGGGATGTGCAGCACCTTCCTCAAGCATCTGGCTTGAAATCAAATCCGTCGAGTCTCCTCCGTTCAACTTTGTTCAACCACGCCGTATTCAAAGAATACACCAGCTCGGATGTTACCAGTGCTTGAAATAGTTCCATCTTCTGGGTGACCACGGGCAAGAATGACCTCTGGTGTACAGCTTCTGGGGGCCCGCGAAGTGGGTACAGCCCAAGCGCACAAGCTGGGGATATCTCATCGAGCTCAGCGGTCGGGAGACCCTGGCAGCGCACCAGAAGGTCACTCTGGCGAAAGGCCGCCCTACTGCGTAATTAGCCCTAGGTCGGGCCTGTCCCCCTGCAGGCCGATCTTGGACGAAAAAGTGGAAATACTCAAAAAATACCCCCAGATACTCCATAAACCATGTTGAAAATCGTCCCCTGACTATTTTGGGAACATCTTTGAATATGTTCCTCCTGTAGAGGGACAGGCCCGACTCTTGCCGGCCACAGGGCTCGAGGGGGCGCGGCCGACGGGCAGAGGCTGGGACCGGCGAGCCCCGGCCTGCCGGCGCGGCTCACAGGCTGGCGGGCCTGCGCAGCCTCGCGGCCTGCAGGGGCGCGCACAGAGGGGGGCGGGCCCGGACAGGCTCGCGCGGCGAAGGGAGCACGACGGGCGGCGTCTTGCAACTGTGGTGAGGGGCCTGTTTTCCACCACCGCCGCCATACGTTGGAGGGGGAGGGGGTCCTCCTCCTCCTCCTCCTCCTCCTCCTCCTCCTACTTATGCTGGTGGTGGTGGAAAACAGGCCCATCATGTGGGCCTCCTGGGGGCCCACGCCGAGCCCTGGGACAATCCAAAAACGGGCCAGAAGTTGTTCAACGGCGAGCTCCAGCACCAAGCAGGAAGCGGCGGCGAGGCTGGAACTTGCTCGCGGCTGAGAGCTCGACACCAGACCCTCGGCTGAAAACTAGACACATGGGCCGAGGCTGGAATCGAGAGGCCACAGAGAAAAAAAGACCCGGACCGAGAGCCTGCCGTGCGAGGTGCCGCCCCCCCTCGGCCCCCCCCCAGACATCCGATGTCCTGATAAGCCCCGACACTTCTCACAGCATCGATTTTTATTTTTGGCCTCTCCATTGCGAAGGCCTTACGGCCGGTGCCGCCAACCCTGCAAGTGGAGGACCGACGACGACGACGACGACGACGACGACGACGGCGGCGGCAGCGGCGGCCGCAGCGGCGGCGGTGCTACAGCGGTGGCGGCGGCGTCTATGACGGCGCGGCCTCGAGGGCGCCCAGGGTCCCACCGCTGCGGTGCGACTCCCCATCGGGCTGCGGCGGCCGCCTGGGCCCTCGGTCGGGCCTTCGTCGAGCGCCGCTGGACGTCCAGCTTCGGACGCTGCTGAAGGTCATGCGCGCGGTGCCTTCGGCTTCGGGGCATCGGACGTCGAGATTCGAGGAGCGCAGATCGATCGGGGGGCGCCAACTCAAGGGATCCACGTGATGATAAGAAGTCACGGCGTCGGCGTCGGGGATGGGGGCTCGGAGGACCGAGGTTCAAAGTTCGAGCGTCGAGAGTCGAGTCCAGAGGAAACCTGACACCGACAAATCCAGAGGCTCGAAAAATGTGCCAAACGCTTATCTCCAGTCCTGGAATCCAGAAGCCCAACCCTGGAGCCGTCAAAAAAGGTTCCGGGACTGAAGACTGCCCTGGGGGAGAGCTCGAAAGCTCAGCAACGAGATACTCGAGACATTGGAAGCCGTGTAGATGCGGTAGAGGGATCGCACCGCATCATCGATGCATCGGCGGTGCATGGGCGATGTCGGAATGGAGATCGCACTCTGAATCGCGCGCACCGCGGATGCATCGGCGATGCGCGATGCGGCCCCATCCCCTGACCCCACCCCATCTGCAGTGGCCCAATTTGGAAGGCCTGTTGCCTCGGCCCCGCTTGGACTGGTCCGGGATGTCGGCCAAGTCCATGAACACCGTGGCCGAGAAGGCGAGCCGGCGCTGGCGCAGGTGGGTCGGCATGAAGTGGAGGGTTCGCGGAAAAATTTCCGTGGAGGTTGAGATATCACCCTCGGTCTGGCCCAGGAGCGCGACATACGCCTCCTGGACCCACGCCACAAACTGGTCGTGTTGGTTCATCTTGACCCAGCCCAGAAACTTCGCGTCCTCTTTGGCGGAGCAAACAATCGGAGGCTCGGGGGTGATACAGAAGTGAAATAAAGTCCTCCAATCAGGAAGTCGGTTTCGGTCTGGACGATGGTGCGGGCGAGGCGTATCTACGCGAATTCCTGCAACAACAGTGCCCAGGTCACGCGAAGATGAATCGGGTCTCTGGGCGCTAGGGCTTGCCCGGTGTCCCGTGGGTGTCCCCTTGGCTGTCTCGTAGTTGTCCCGTGGTTGTTCCATGGTGATCCTGTGGTTGGCGTGTGGGTGTCCCACGGTTGTCTCAAAACTGTATTGAAATTATCCCGTGGTTGTCTCGTGTTTGTCCCTGGGTTTTCCCGCGGTGTCTAGCGGTTATCCTGTGGTCGTCGCGCGGTTGTCCAGCGAATTTGCTGTCCCGCGGTTGTCCTGGGGTGTCCCGTGGTTGTCCCCGCGACTATCCCATGGTTGTCCCGTGGTTGCCCGACGACTTGAAATTGTCCTGTAGTTGTCCCGTTGTTGTTCCATGGACGGCACATCTATACAAGAAAAACAGGCAGACCGATTGGTAGATGGCGAGACAGATGAAATATATTTCCAGCGTGATCCTGGAGAAGGGAAGGAGGACGCGAAAGAAGAGAGCGCAACAAACACATTGTCAATCCCGTGGTCACTCTGCGCAGCGCAGGAGCCTGGCGCGGACCACATTGGAGATACGAAAAAGCGTAAGACGTATGAGTGCCAAGGTGGAGGAGGAGGACGACGACGGCGACAAAAGAGGGAGAGAGAAAGGGAGAAAGACAGCGAGCAATATCCGGACAAATCACCCTCATGTCCGATTGAAATCGCGGGAAAGGAATTACACGCGTGCTGCTCGGGGGCCTCGTCGGGATATAGACCCCGAGGGTCTAGGCTACCCTAGGGCCTACTCAGTACCTTAGGCTTGCCTAGGGTAGGGCCTACTGAAGGCCCTATGCTTGCCTAGAGTAGGGCCTA